GTGAGGGGCATTTCCTGTGCAAGTCGCTGCCAAGCCTGACCCATTTCTTTCTGCACGCTGGCGCCACAATCCGTGCCAAACAAAACACTCGAGCCCATGTGCAGACGCATCTACGATCTCGTGCCCCCGAAAAAGACAAGGCTGGAGGTGGTCTGCGCTCCCAGCAGCGGTAGGCTCCGCCACGGGAGCTGAGGCCGGCTCTCTTTCAGGGTGCAGATCGGGTGATGCAAGACCTGTAGCTATGCGTTCATAATGCTTCTCGCAGGTCTGAGCCTCCTCGGGTTCAAGCTGAGAGGCGTCCAATTCACGGTCGAGCACAAAGTCTGCAATGCCTCCTCTAACTCCGTCTGGCTCTTGGAAAACTGCCTCAGGCAACCACTCATGCAACTTGCCGAACCACAAGGTAACGTCTTCTGCCCTGCTCTCCCAGGGTAGTGCAACCATTTCTCGATCACCAAGAAACTCCCAGAGACAGGCCCCTGCTTTGGCCCACTTGTCGGCCAACTGGTTCTCCCGGAGTGCCCGAAGGTCATCGACCGACGTGACCTCGGAGACGCGCCTGTGAACCTTGACTTTGTGCGCGGACGGAGAGGCCCCAACCTTGCCCCACCAGGGCCTCAACATGTGGTGACGCTTATTCCTGGGGTCCAAGGCCTTCGACAAATTGCGCGCGCAACTTGCCGAATCTGCGCCATCATTGTGAACTTCGAGGGCAACGCTGTCATTGCCGTCTGCCGGTGTTCGGAAAACCGCGCAAGCATGTGAAACGCGTAATCTTCCCCACCCCGCACCCACTGCTCTGGCCCCCGCGATCGCGGAACCGCTCCATGTATCCAGGCGACAACGTTGCGCTTCTGGTCAGCTTGCACAGGCGATCGTCCTGCTCGCTTGCAGGATCCGTGCTTAGTGCTGAAGGCCGAGCCGCCGACGCCCATGCCCCGCCGAAAAGCCATCCAGGGTGGACCCCAACGGACCGAACCCACCGCCCCTCAGGAACCTCGGGCCGACCAAAGCATATCACGGGGGAGGGGAAAGGCCGTGGGAGAAACAACTCGGCTTCTTCTTTCTCCAGCTCCCGAACTCCAATGGCCGCGTCCCCGACCGAGCGGGGCATGTGAGCACACCTGAAAGAGTCAGTCCACTCACGCAAAACACTCAACGTGGAACATCGTCCCTGGACATCCGCGCATCTTACAATGTCCAGACGCCGAGCTTCCGTGGAGGAGAGGACGCTGCTGTGGCCAGTGGGTGCCCGACGCCGGGCTCCAGACCAGATTCCTACCATGTCTGCTGAGCTTTGGCTTGCGACCGAAGAGGATTTTCGAGCAGCTTTCAATTCAACTCTGAGCGCCAACATTGGTTCCTGCCCAAGGAAACGACGTCGCTCGCTGTAACAGCCATGGCTTTCACATCCGCCGCAGCTCAGCTGGGGGAGAAAAGCGCCAGGTCGATAGGCTCACCATTCAGGGTCTCTTCTCAGGGGCAGCGATACGGGGGGGACAGGCACAGGGGGGGATGCACCGACCCCCAATCGCCCATTGATCGCCGATAGGAGCCAAATAGCCCCAACCTGCCCAGGAAGGTGCGGATTCACTATTGGAGGCCTATCGCCGATCTATCGACGATGTATCGTCGATTCCAGGTTGATGCATCCCCCCCTATGCCCATCCCCCTATCGTTGCCCCTCATCTTTGCCCGTGTACTCGCGACAGAAGGCAAAGCGGCACGGGTCCGACTATCTCCTTCGAGGACCTCATACTTGCTCTGACTCTGGCGAGCACGAGGTGCAGAACCTGGGCTGCGTTGCTAAGCTGGCTCCAGGTGTCTCTGAATTCAGGGTGCATCTGGAATGCTCGAGAACCGCAGCAACGACAGGCCTGGCAGGGGGGGCAGTCTCCGTGCGCATGGCCCACGCGAGGACCACCCTTCCAGCGTGAACAATGGCATGGCCGCTCCAGAACCCTCGAAACATGGAGCGCAGCCTGAGACGCACATGGGCTCCAGTTGAAAGCCCCCCTTCGGACCTCAGGGCGCATTGTGTGTCTTTGTTGTAGGCCAGCCCTGTGACTGCCGATCCCCAGACAGCGGTGGCGGTTGGAAAATTCGGGCAAATCCTTTCCGAGCGCGCAGGAGCAGCTGGCAGCAATCGCGCCGATGGCCCTGGGGATGTGGCCAAGCACTCCCGCAAGCCTCGCGCTTGGCCAGGCGGTGGGCGCAGCGCTGTGACCTCAGCGGCGGCTGCGGGCTGCCGAGGGCCCCTGGGCTCCCGCGGCATGAACTCGTGAGACGCTTGTTCGTGATACTTGTTGAAGTCAAGCGCAGCCGTGCCCGCTGCCGTGCCGTCCTGCTGGGCGCAGCGCGCCGGCGACAAGTTGTGCGCGCGCCCAGCTCGATCGCGAGTCTTGCCTGGGCCGCGCCAATAGAAGACCTCTTGCTGGGCCTCCCTCCCGGGCCGCCGCGAGCGGCTGCCGCGGCTGCCTCGTCCTCGGCCGCGGCCTGATCCAGATGCAATTGACGAAGACGGGGCGGGCCGCCCCCTGCTGGGAGGAGTTTCGACAAGAAGCGCGCCGACGTCAGCCGTGACGCGCTCTCGGTGGGATCCCGCGCCCAGCGCCGCAGCGCGTTGAGGGGCCTCTCCCTGTAGCAGGGAGGCGCCCGCCTCAGCTGCCTGGGGTGGAGCTGGCCCCGCCCCGGCCCTGCCTTCTCGCTGCGCCTGTCGAGGGCAGCGTCGAGGTCGGTCACCTGGGGCCGCGGGGGCGTCGAGGCATCGAACTCCGCCCCAGACCAATCCTGCGGGTGGGCCTCCTCCTTCCTGCCAGTGCAGGCCCGCAGGGGCGCTCGCTGCCTCGCGGGGAACTCCATGACGTCGTCGTCTCCGAGCGGCGTGGACCAGCCCGCGTCGTCGTCGATGGACTCGATGTCCGAAGGCGCCGCTAGCGCCGACCTGGCGTGGGCGAGCGCCTGCTGGCCGCTTCTGGTGGATGCCGCCCCGTTGGCCCGCGCTCTCCGCTGGGCCTGCTGCTCTGGTTGGTCGCGCCGCCGCAGCCCCTGGCGATGCTCGCCCGAGGCATTCGTGAGGTTGGCCGTCGCGCTGGCCGAGTCTCCGCCGAGGGCCCTGGGCACCTTCGCCACCGACGGCTCGACTAGCGGACCCCCCTTTGGCCGCGAGCCCTTCTCGAGGGAAAGCTCCTGGTAGGCGTGCGTCTGCCCGTTGATGCTCGAGCACCGGGGCCTTCCCGTGATCGGCATCACCTGCTGGAGGGACGCGGGGTGAAGGCAGGCGGGTCGCAGACTCGCACAGCGCCTGAACCCCGCCGACGTCGTGGCCTTGGGCTGGCCCCTGCACTCCACTGCTGGCGGGGCCTCTGGCGCGCTCATGCAGCGACCGCGGCCTTCGGTCCGACTGCAGTTATCGTGCAGGCCAGTCAGGTGCTTCTCACCCTTTTCGAAGCGCACCACCATCGCCCTGTGGGTGCCCCTTGGCGTAGCTCCTACATCCCACGGTCACTGGGCATCCCTTGCCTCGCTCGGGGCTTCGCAGGTTGGCGCTGGCAGCGCGATGGGGTGGGCCGCCAGGCCCGCGGGGGCATCGCCGTGGCCAGCCCGCGAAGCCCCGGCCAGACAAGGGCGTGCGTGCGAATGCTGGTGCCGGTTGCCACTTCGACTCCTGCTGCTGCGTGCCCGAGTCGCCTGGAGACGACGAAGAAGCCGAGAGCGCGTTCGCTGCAAATTTGCTCCTCTGGGGCGACCGCTGCCCGTGCCGCGTGGTCCGCTCCCGGACTTGGTCTGGCTCCAGGGCCCAATCGCCCCCGAGCGCCCATGGCCCGCGTGGCCCGCCAGGCCTGGTTTGGGCATGTCGAAGTGCGTCAAGTTGGGCTCGGCCAGCCCCGCCCGCGCGGCGAGGTTGAGCCGGCGAAGTGGAGCGGGGCTTCGGAGGCAGTGCTGACTGCTCCGACCCGGCACCTGCTCTTCGGGATGGCCATCTTCAGCGCGTCGACGCCGTCCAGCTTCGCGAGGGAACTTAGCGCCGCGACCCCGCTGGGCGACTCAGTGGCCGCCCCCCCCGTGGACCCCGCCCGCCTGGATACCGAGATTAGGCCCGCCTTCAAACCCCATCTCCTCGCCGAGGCCGCCAGCCTAGCTTCTTTGATGCAGTGCTCCTGCAATGGCGCCGCGCGCCGGTCTCGCGTTCCGATGGCGCCCGCGGAAGGGCGCGCCGTAGACGAGGGCTGTCCCTGGCGCGACGCACGGCAGGGATGCCCCGGCCGCGCGGCGCGATCTCTCGAGGGCCCGCCCAGGTCGGCCCCCGCGCCCAGCCGCCCCGCCAGCAGGTCCTGCCCAGAGGTCCACGTCGCGATGTTCGTCGTCCCGATGTCCAAGCTCGCTGCGCGATTCGGGAGGAGATGGCCCTGCTCACGGGACTCCCCGCCAGGCAACTCCCCCCCCACCCGGGAGGTCCCCGACGCCCCGAGCCGCACTTTAAACGGGAGGGTCGTCGACGATCTGGCCAAACCCTCCGCTGCTTCTTGCTGGGCTTGAGGAAGTCCTGGGCGCGCTTGTGTTTTCCAAGCTGCTCTCCCTCCTCGCTGAGCATCTTGGATGCTGGCGCCGCCTCCTCCTCAACAGTGCGCGCTCTTTCTTTTGCCTTGTCCGCCTGACTCTCGCGCCTGACGCGGCGGTCCAGCAGATCTGCGATCCTTTTTTTGCGCAGGTCCACCTGCTTCTCGTCGGCCTGCGCATCCTGGGGACCTCCGCCGACCTTGGCCGAACTGGCTTTTTGCTGGGCCTCCGAGAGGCCCAGCTGGGGGTCACCGGGCAGCGACACCTGCAACTCCTTCTGTCGCTTCCTCTTTGCTTGGACTACGGCTTCTTTGATGTTCTGCTACAGCGACGAGTCGCGCGGCGGCCCTGGCTCCACTTGCCCCGCGGGGACTTGGTGGCGCTGGATTTGGGCTGCGCGGCCCTTCCGCGCTCGATGGCATGCGGGGCCCGCGGCGGCGCAGACCGTCCGCGCGCTTGATGCTGGGCTCTGCGTCCGCGGTGTTTGTGCCCGCCGCGAGATCCTGGCCGGCGCCGCTGGGAGTTCGGCCCTGCGCCGCTGCCCTGCTGAAGCATCTGGCGCGGGAAGTTGGCCGAAGCAGCTGCGCCACTCCCAACTGCGCTGCCTCGGACAACCTCACTCTAGAGACCTGGGGATGGCTGTGTGTGTGTGTGTGTGTGTGTGCGTGTGTGTGTGTGTGTGTGTGCGTGTGTGTGTGTGGGGGGGAGGAGGAGGGAGGAGGAGGAGGAGGAGGAGGAGAGAGGGAGGAGAGGAGGAAGAGGAGGAGGAGGAAGGAGGAAAATGAGGAGGAGGAGGAGGGGGAGGAGGAGGAGGAGAGGAAGAGGAGGAGGAGCAGGAGGAGGAGGAGGAGGAGGAGGAAGAGGAAGAGGAGGGGGAGGAGGAAGAAAAAGAGGAAAAGGAGGAGGAGCAAGCAAAGCAAAGAACTATCGGACCCAATGTCTCTCCATAGCTACGAGACCAAATCAGGCTGGATCTAAGTGGCAGCAGTGAGTCAGACTTCCAACATGAGGAACCCTGGGGGCGGGGAGCGCTCAAGCCTGGAGACGACCCCTATGGAGGGATACCCAGGGGGCGTCTCATGGCGCCACCTCCCGAATTACAGGAAGACCCCACTGGACATTAGGCAGGCCCCCGTGGCCCCGCCCCTCTCGCTCGACGGCTCGCGGGATCGCGCGAACCCGAGCAATGAAAACAGATCGATCATCGTGGGCGCTACCCCTCAAAGCAAATCGATCGTCGGCCGCACCAGCAGCCACAGAGATTTCAGAGACACCAGGCCCCTGTCCCGAGGTTCCCGAGACGGGGGAGGGGGGCAATCCACGACGCTGCAACTCGAGGAACCGTTCACTAGCACGGAATCGCTCACTACCACGAAACGCGGGCGGAGGAGGGACGGGAAGACGAGATCGACCAGTAGGAGGTCGAGGGGCCACGGAACGACCGAGGGCCGAGGCCGAGGACCCAGGACGCACCCCGAGAGGCTGAACGAGAGGTTGAATTCTGGGCTCAGATCTGGATGGAATCAGAGGAGCAGGCAGCCTAACTGTTGAACCCGTCGGGCGAGTCGGTTACGTCGAAGACCCAGCAGAAGTCGACGGCACAGCAGACGGTCCAGTCCATGCACTTGTCCCCATACTCGGCCGAGTACCAGTGCGCAGATTACCATCATTCAAGTGAAGTACTGGTGGTGGACGGCACCCATCAGATACACCCGCTACAGATGCAGAGCTCTGACCAACATCAGCAGGTACAGAACTCTGAACGCCATCATTCACCAGTGGTATCGAACTTGGACCGCCTACTTGCCCTCCAGCTGGTCCAGCAAGCGTTGCGCATCCCGCTCGAGGGCGCCCTTGGGCGCCGCCCCATACTTCCTGGTCGCACCGATGAACTGGAAGAACTTCACCAGGGCGCCCTCGAGATACTGATGGCTGTGATCCACCGCGAACGTCACCCACGCCAAGGCCTTCTGGTTTTCCTGCTTGCGAGTCGGCCGCACCCGACACGCCCTCACGCTCGTCGCCACCTGATCGATACTGTTCTCCATACTGAAGTCGTTCCAGTACTGCTCCAGCGGCTTGGCAACGTCGGGCGGGGGGCCGGCCTGGCCGATGGCACGAAGAAGGGCGACCCAAACTTGAACGAAGGGAGGACCCATGGGCTCTGGAGAGTGGTCTGCCTTCCGCGCTTCGCCTCTTGATGAGATGCGACGCCTGCGGCCATGGCGGCCTTGATGACTGTATGCTCGGCGTCTACCGAAAAAGTCACGAAGAGGAGGAGGAGGAGGAGGAGGAGGAGGAGGAGGAAGGGGTGCTGGCCATCGACGGCACATGCAGCCCGCGCGCGCCGCGCGCGGGGGGGCGAGGCCCGCGAAGGGCATCGAACAATTAGTCTGCCCTGCTCTTCCCAGGGAGCACGCGCCATCGCCGACGATCGGGGGGGCCGCTGGGCCAGATTGCCCCGACAAAAAATCAGCCACATCTCCCTCCTAATCGAGAAGGTGGAACTCTGGAGCGGGTGGCCCCCTGGGTGCACCCGGCCCCGAACCCCGAGCGTCCGGGGCCCATCAAGCGCAACGGCAATCTCTGGGCGGTCGGCCACCACGCCGCCCCCAGAAGACAAAGCAGGCGCAGGAGGCTGGGGGCCGACCGAACTGGCTCTGCCGCAAAGAACACACAACGTAGAGCAGTCGACGGTGACCCCAGCCTCCTTCGGAGAGGAGCGGAGTCTTTTGGGGAGCCTGCTCCGTATATTGCTGTGCGACGCCACATCCTCGGGCGACGCTGCTTCCTCGAGTTGGCCAACCTGCCTCCCGTGGGGGGAGAAGTCAACGCAATTCGGGAAATCTGATAACACAAACGAAACAACTCCGAGGGTCGCGGAGACCACTGAGCAGCTACAGCGTACGCACAAACTTCGGCAGCCCGGAGGGTCCGAGGCGCGGGGGCCCACGCAGGGCCTCGTGCGCGAAGGATCTCGAAATGGGATCCGCGGCTCCAAAAAGAGTCAAGGCCCAGCCAGCCCGATTGAGCTCTCCTGTCGCCCGCCTAAAACACGACCCGTCTCCGAGTGTGCTCCCGCCGCGGCAAAATCGTCATCCCCAGGTTCGGAATATATTCATTCCACTCGACTGCCCCCAGAAGTCAAGGGCCCCGGGACTGGATCATAGCAACCTAACGCATCATCAGCATCACGTGCCGGAGCTCACCCTGCTCATCAATGGGGGGCATACGACACCCCTGGACCGCAACGTACTCCCACAACCTATGCCTTAGCGAAGCAGGTAGCAGTCTACACAAGGGGGCAGACGGTGACGATCTTGTACCTAGGCTGACAGCGCGCACCCGCATATACACAGCGTCACAAAACAAACGCTCGAATGCACTCCTTTTGGAACGGAGGAAACCTACTGGATGATACCGTTCACGCAAGACCTGCCTTCAAGGTTCAATTTGGCCCCCAAGTCCCACTCGAACCCCCGTAAGACGGCCTTCTCGAGGGGGCGAATGAGGAGTGGGCTAAACTCTGTCAGCTTGATGTCGTGACCTAGGTCCATACGCAACATTGCAAGCTACGGCACGTTCCTAGAGATCCCCTCGCAGGATTTACGAAGAGCAGACATAGGACCCCTGACCCTGCGCCAGAGAGGGGGCTCACCACTTAAACCCCCTTCCACCGCGGACCTAAACTTAGGACAGGGGATGGCCTTAGCGGAAAACCTCAGACGGGAGGCCAAGGTTTCTTTCGGCCATCGCAAGATCGGGGCGACCGAAACTAACCAAAAGGGGCCGTCGTGAGCCAGCAACAGGGCAATCAAGCTGCGTCCTTTGGCCGACGGTTTCAAGACGGATCCAGCGTGGCGACGATACTTGAAGAGATCGTAATCTGTCACACCATGAACGCCCACTTCGAACATATTCGACGCCATTGCCCCAGTGGCAACAACCTTCTTGGCCTCTTTACACCCCGACAGTGGGTCGATTCCTTCCCACACGCGCACAAAACTGGGAAGCCTTCCTCTCACGAACTTTGGCCTTGACAGCGCGGCCTGCTCTGCGCCGAGCCTTGCTAGCCCCGTCATCGAAATCTAACTTGTCGGCGCTGAAAAATAAGGGCGCAATGGCATCGCCTAAACGCTTGACCACCACCGTGCCCAATTCCAACGGGGAACGCGTGAGATACCTCTTCCCTGGGTCGTCTGAAAACTTGGCACCAACTTCCTCCTCTAACGCCTGAGTGCGGTCGGAATGTGCCTGGGGGAGGTGGTGAAGGATGCAGCGGCGACTACCAGTGGCGGTTTAGCCGCTGTCGTCGATGTTCAGCTTTATATCAACAATTGCAGAGAAACTCACACCATCCAAGGCACTCAACGCGCAAACCCGGGTCATGCTGGTGGCAAACAGATGTACACTCACAGCAAGGCTGGTAATCCCTAAAGGGAGGAAGGAGGAAGAAGAGGAGAGGGAGGAGGTAGACCAGTGTAAACCCAAGACTCATCAACGACGTTGGAATAAACTCTCCCTCCAAGCTTCCTCTTCAGGACACATGCAGGGATTCTTTCCGACTGAAGGAAGTGCCCCATTGGGAGACAACCATTTGAAAACTCTGGAGAAGGAGAAATTCCTCCTCCTTCCCCTCCCCCTCCGCCTCCTTTTTCTTTCTCCCGCCTTCTCTGGAAAGAATAGAAGCAAATCGACGACTACAACTACACAAGGGCGCGCGGGGCGGGAGCGCCGTACTCACCCCGCTACCTCTTGAAGGCTGGCTGCTCTTACACCTCGGGCCGGGTCGCGCCATCCACGAGGGTCGACTTCCTCCTCCCCCCATTTTCTCCTTTTCCTCCTTCTCCTCGTCCTCTGCCTCGTCTTCGTCGTCGTGGTCGTCGTCCACCTCTTCTTTCTCCTCCTCCTCTCCCTCGTCCCCCTTTCTTCTCTTCCTCCTTCTCCTCAATCTGCCTTTTCTTCCTCCCCTCTTACTCTTTCTCCTCCGCCTCCTCCTCCTCCTCCTTGTCTTCCCCCCTCATTATCTCACCTCCGCCCTCATCTCCCAATTCCCAACAGTCCTCATCCGACTCCTCTTTCTCCTCCTTCATCGGTTTCCTTGTGCACAACACCTTCTCCCAGCACCACCAGGCGTGTCAGCAGGGCGGGCTGGAGATGGCGAATTTTCGCGTGTTTTGTTTTACAATTTACGTCCATTCGGATTAACATGTACTGAGCAGCTGCACGAACGGGCAACGGGCCATTATCAACAGGTGATCCTAGTCTACACGCCGCGCGCACATTCGAACACATGTCCAAACAACTGCACGGGTGAAAGGCGGGTGGTTTTCAAAATGTCACTGCGGACCCTGGCGCCGCGCGCACCCGTCTGAAGCATGCCCGGCGTGTCAAAGGATGAAGGTCGGTGCCTTTTCGAAAGGTGGCTCTCGTTTCAGCGCAGCGCACATTCGCATTCAACGTGCTCAGCACTTACCCCATACACGGGAGGAGGGTTGGTGCATTTTTAAAACGCGGTTCTCGCCTGGCGCTTTGCCTCATTCGCGTGCAACCTCCAAGCAGTTACAGGAAGGGAGAATAGGACCTGACACGTTCAATGTTGCGCACAGTTGGTTGCATTACACTAGCCGTGGTGCGCATCTGGTCTTGACACAATGTAGCAATTTCACAGATTGAAGGAAGGCCGTTTTCAATATCCGCCAAACAATTCTTGTACCTGTGTGTTGATACCTCTCTTCTGAAGAACTGGGCCTGGCTGTCGGTCCAGCTGGCCGTGCGCCATGCTGCCGCAGTTCCGCGCGACGCGAACTTCGCGACGTGTTCGACTGCTGCACGCACGTCCTCCGCGTGCTGCCGTGCAGCCGCGGCCATGATCGGTGGGAGATCGGCGCGTGCCTGCGCGTCCGAGGGTCGAGTGCCCGCTGGTTGCTTGGGTTGGGCGCCCAAATATTGTTTTCCTGAGGGCAGACTGCCCGAGAGGGGGTGCAGCGAGGCAGAGATTCCGAGCTGTGTTGGTAGGTGCGGCGCCGGGTCTCCATATACACTTCCCACGTGTCGCTGTTGTCGTCAGATTGGTAAAGCTCGCATGAGTTCGCCCAGAAGGGTACCTCTGCTGCGCAAACAATGGCGCACCACTGCGCGCCGATCGAACGGTGGCGACGGCGGTTTGCACGGCGCTCTGGCTGAGCTTTGACCGCGTCGAAGAACGGGGAGGGAGGGCGATGTGGGGGCAGAGGGGGAGAAGGAACAGGCAGTGAGCTCGACAGAAGCGTCCTCGGCGCGCGTCTGCATCCCAATTCCTGTGACTGCTGGGGCCTCCGTGTGGCACGGATGGCCTTTGCCGCGCCTGCGGTGTGGCGCGGCCCGACACCCAGAATCGGCATGCTGGGGCGGGGCCAGCGCGTGGCTCGCTACCGCCGCTCCCCCTTCGCTTTGGTGTTCCCCTTTTGTTGCGGCGTTGCCGGGGCGCGAGGGCCCTTTGTCCTTAAAAGGGTTACCCTTGCCGACGTTCAAATTCTCCTCGGGCTAACCTCCCTGCGGCCGCTTCTCTGGCTGCCTGTGCCCTGGCCCCCCTGGTGCCGAAAAGCAAGTTGCTGCTGCGTCGTCGTCTCGCTGCAAATCATGTACTTTTCTTTCCTGCCGACAAGAGTGGTCGAGTCGCCCGGAAGGGCTCGAGGAAACGCGCGCGCTCACACGACTGCTGCTCCATCGACTGTCCCAGCACTGTCAGGTGCTGGACAATCAAATCCACTGCCTTGTCTGTTTTGTTCTGGATGATGAGGTCTGAAAGGTTGTGCACGGGAGCCATGTTGTTGCGGTTGCGCTTGGACGGGTCGTACCTCACCTCGCGCGCCCTGAGGAAGTAGGCCGCCGCCGCCAGAAGCTCCTTCCTGTGGTCGTCGCTGTCGCTGTTGGCCTCTCCCCCAGGAGCCACCCTCTGCGCCATGTTCCAAGTCGCGTTCCTGGAGAGGTCCCCCCGGGTGCTTGCGAGCGAAGCGCATAAGACGTTCCTGCGTGGACTTCTGCCGCGCGCCTTCTGAGGTCGGGGCCGAATGAAAACCACCTCGCACGAACCGCTGCTGCTTGACTCGTCACTGATCTACGCCGGTGGGGGATGCGCGAGCCCCGCGCGCCCCGCCTCGGGTGCGACTGGATGCGGGGCCTCCTGCCTTGGTCGCCTGGCGAGCACCCTCGGCCGGAAGGAGCCGCGTCGCGGTCGCCCTCCTGAGCTCCCCGGCGCCCGTCGGGACGGCGGCCTCTTCGCGGCGGCCCTCTGGTGCTCCGCCCTCGCCGTCGTCCTCGGCTGGCGTGCGCTCCCCTCGCGCCGCGGGGGCAGCGCCGCGGCGGCCCCGCGGACCCCCGCCAGCGGCGTCGGGCTCGGCCGGCCTGCGCCTGCCCCGACGAGCGCAGGCCGGCCCGCGGCTCGTCCCGTTGTAAGACGAAGCCAGGATTAAGTCGGGCCTGTCCCCCTGCAGGGGGATTTTCGACCAAAAATTAAAAATACCCCCCAAATAATCAAAAAATAATTCAAAAATAGTCTGGGGACTATTTGATGAATATTCTTTGGCCTTTTTGGAGCATTTTTGGGGTATTTTTAATTTTTCGTCGAAAACCCCCCCTGTAGGGGGACAGGCCCGACCTAAAGCCAAGATGGAGACAACATCGAGTGAG